AACTGTCCCCATAGTTGCCCAGACAGACCTGTCTAACTTAGACATTTTTAGACTTTTTTAGACATTTTTAGACAATATTATCGATAATATCGGAGAAAAACGAACTGTCCCAATAGTTGTCCAGACAGACCTGTCTAACTTAGACATTTTTAGACTTTTTTTAGACATTTTTAGACGATAATGTCGCGCCTTCCTCATAATTTCGCCGCCACCCCTATCTCTGTATTATGCTACATTGCAGGGATCTCGACAATTGCGCTATGTCGTCATTTACGTGATGGAAATATAAAAATAATTTTTATTCATAATTGCAAGCAACACAGGGAGCGTCCGTCTCATTGGCGGATTTAGATGGGGGTCGAGGGGGCCGCGGCCCCCCTATTTTTAACAACCAACAGGGCTTCGCGCCATCGGCGCTCGCGAACTTGAACTTGGCCTTAGGCCAACTTATCGCCCCCCCCCTATTCCAGAATCCTAGATCCGCCAGCCAAGGATCATTTATTCGGCCGAAACCTCAACATTAAACCTTAGCAGATTTTACCACGATTTACTGTCACATGCGCTCAAACGATTCACCTCGGTTCATTTGCATCACCCAATCAGAACTCACGATAGAAACGACACATTACTTAGTAAAATTCAGGTAAAATTTAAATAGTGGAATATACAAAAGAACGTCAAAGAAAAAAAATCGCTCAGTGCTATATCTGAGGGAAATGATGTGTTTGTTGTAACCACAATCCCTCTAGGTACTGTGTTGCAACGAAGACCAGATCGGGCAAGTCGATATGTTACCAGTTTCGATTGTTTTGTCAGTTTACTGAAAAAAAAGTTTGCACAAATATTTAGACATTCCATCGTCTTCATTCACTTGCCCACAAATAATTTTCAACGTTGAAATAAGAAATTTTGGAAAAGTGTCAGCGAATATAGAACTTCTGTTCTTGACTCCGGCTGGATCAGCGCAAAGCATACACGCCGCTATTGTTTTGATCTGTGATGAGCTCCCCGACCTTCACATTTATGACACAGCAACGCTGATTGGCGGCGCCCGCTCCTTGGCGCGCCCAATCAAATGACTCGATTTAACTGCAGTGAAATACAGCTTTTCCTGACACGATCACGCACGGGTTAGTGGGCCGGTTATGAATGGCGCTATATCTTGAAACGTTTGGAAATTTTCGGTATAAATTTCGACGTAAGTTTATTTTTTCATACATCGACTCGCATGTCAATGCACACGTTTGTCTGCATTATTTTTATATATCAATACGTCACGTGGTGGACTTATCTAGTCAAGTACGTTCTTACATAGCAGCTGTGTGTCGGGGTTCACGTGAAAAGTGACCTAGATCCAATTTAGCTGTTTTCAACGTGACAAACAGCACAATTTGCAATATATAGTACTTCAATGTATGTATGTATTTAAATGCAGATTTTAATTGTGTAGATTTGAGCCGATTGAATCGAATAAAGAGTTGTGATAGGCCGGGGTTAGGGTATACTAGTATTTAGGGCTGTGAAATAAGAGATGGTATGCAACTGTGGTAAACTGAT